TGCTCCCTGCTTATTTCACAAAGACCACTGGCTGCAACGCTGTTTTGGTCAGACGGTCGCGTGTTTCCTGCACAACATGCTCGTTTGCTCCACCCCAACATGTTGTTAGCGCTGTTGCGCTCACGGATTGGTGAGCTGTGTATGCAACAGTGGCAACGCCACCAGTGACAGGGCTCAATATGGGATGACTTTGAGGACCTCAAGAGAATCGACTACCTTGACGACGAGACCGCAGTTCTCCAGCTCTAACAAGTCGATGGACAGACCAGTCTTGTCGCAGGTCCTCAGTTTGCTAAAGTTGCTGCACAAACCGAGATCTCGTGGATTGGCCTCACTGCATTATCAGTCAACACCAACGGGACCACGAAAAATGGTCATTTATTTATTGAGCCCTTACTGTCCAAGTACTACATTTCATGTATTCAAGATACCAATATTCGCGGTCAAACTCAATGTTCTCATTTAAATTCCATCTTGACGCCTCGTTCCAACACAAGGTATTTGTCAGCGACGACAACAGCACTCACCAACACATAATATCCGCCCGGAGCACAGGTGTTGCGACGTTGGTACATGCCGATTTCCCAGGGTACTTGGGCGCTGATTTATGTGACACGCTCACAAACCCCAACCGGTATCTGGTGATCCGTTTTGATGTTGGCGGAGCACCGTTGTATGTGCACAACGTGTATGCCCCAGTGGATCCACAAGAGAAACTTCTTTGCCCAGCTTAATGCCGCACAATTCGAAGCCGATGCTAATGATATCGTGATGGGCAACTTTAATCTCTCGATGGAGCCCGTGCTTGATGCCACAACGGTGAGAACCCACTCTGATCAGGCGAGACCAGTGCTTTTGGAATGGCTTGCTCAGTTAGGTGTGCTTGATGCGTGACGTGTCGAGCATGGCAGCGAACGGGTCTACACTGGTCCGCAACCGCTCAAGAATCGTCTGGACTACATTTTCATGTCTGACTGCCTGTTCCAAAATATATACCATGATTCCAAGTACTTTGCGCCTACGTACGCTGGGGACCACTTGGCACACTCGTTAGTGTTTCGCCAAGGTGTTCAAGCACACAATCGTGGATTGGAAGTTCCCGGCATACTTGCTCGAGTATCCAGTAGTGTGTGCTGCAATTGCAGAGGAAGCGACTGAAGTATTAAGTAAGCTCTGTATAGCTGCAAACCCAGGTCGCGTATGGGAAAAGTGAAGACAACGCATGAAGCGCTTTCTACGGCAACTCCAAGCTACTCTGCGCGCTAGTAACACGGCACTCGTGGATACAGCACGTCAGGCATTGGTTACTCCAGCGACCAGATACAAGCTCTATCAAGATAAAGAAACTCAGCATGTGTTCGAACATGCTCTGCTTGAATACCAACATGCATAATCAAGATACGGCGTTTGATTCCAAGCACAGCACATGGAAAAATCGAATCGTTTTTTCTTTCGCCCCGCGGATCCAAGTGTGCATCGTGTATCGATCGAAGAAGTGCAACTCCCAGACGGGTCACTGTCTTCGTCACCACAGGATATTACGCTGCAGTTTATGGACCACTGGGGTTCAGTCATGGGTGACCCCTCCAGCTCGGGCGGACGTGATCAATTCCCGACAGCCGCGCACAAACTAAGCTACTGGATTCCATCAAACGCAAAATTTTGGATGATGCTCGAGCGTTGCTTTCAAGTCCCTTGACTGCTGAAGAGTTTGTTGAGTCGATCAAGCGTATAAAGACGAATTCTTCGCCTGGAATGGATGGCCTCACGGCAGCTTTCTACCAAGTTGCCCCAACAATATTTGGCGAAT